GCGCCTTCGGCAGGGCGAGGCACGGAGCGCACTTCCCTCTGGTGGCTTTCACGCACAATACGTGCCGCAGGTCACCTGAAAGACTCGCCGCGAGGTTGGAACGCAGGAAGGGCGGCAGGAAGGGCGGCAAGAAGGGCGGCAAGAAGGGCAGCTACGCGGACACCGCAGTTGCGGGGAAGGGCGTCCGACCCCAGATGGGAACCGCAGTTGCGGGGAGAGACGCTGGGGCTGAGCGAGCTGGGAACACGCCACCGCCGCAAGCTGCCAACGGCGACGATGCGACCCCTTCTTGTGCCGCAGTGGCGGCTGGGTCCTGGGACGCCAGCGGCAGCGGCGCATGGGAGGCGCGCAGTCCCGCCACGAGATGGCAGGGCTGGTCCTGGTGGGACTGGAGCTCGAGCGAATGGGGCGCTGATGGCGCGCAGTGGTGGCCCTCTGATCATGCCGCAGTTGCGGACAATGCCCCTGAGGGCTCGCCTCCTCAGCGTGAAGTCGAGTGGGGCTCGAGCGGGCGACCTGCCGAGCGCCCTCCGTGGAGCTTCGAGGCGCAGCGTTGGTGATGGCCGCAGTTGCGGGCAAGTGGAGCATGATGTTGATTGCCGCAGTTGCGGACAGTGTACGCTGGAAAAATCATCATCATCATCAATCATAATCATCATCATATCATCATATCATACGTTCAAAGCAGTGCCGGGGCACTGCTTTGAACGCGTTCAAAGCAGTGCCGGGGCACTGCTTTCGATCGTCGCCTCGTCGCCGTTATAAGGGCTTTCGGATTATGTGCTTACAGCGGGGCGGCGGTGGGGTGTGACAGCAGCGGGGTGTACGACGACTGTGGGGGTTGCGACGACGGTGGGGGGTGTAGCGTTGGCGGAGGTGTGACGGTGTTGACAAAAACAGGGGGGAGAGCGTCGACAGTGGAGGGTGTGACGACGGTGGGGGTGGCGCACCAGAGAAAGATAGTGAGAGAGCGAGAGGGAAAGAGTCCCTTCAACGTTCGGTCGTGTTGCAGTACATTGAGCTTTCAAGAGCAAACCTGTAATCGTATGCCTGCAGAGACAACTTGCGACCATGTTTGACCGTTCTCTGCAATGGCCAACAACTTGCTTCCCTGTTTTTGTTGGCGCCTTCCTGTTCCAGTGTGCTGCGTCAAGTTGCAAATCCCTCCTTGCTGGATGGCTGAACGGGTGCATAGACGGTTAGGAGGCGTGGCAGCGGTTGGGGGTGTGGCGAGTATGGGGGCGAGACGACGGCGGGGATCCCGTCGACTGTAGGCTGTGGGGGTGTGCGGCGACGGCAGGGGGAGGGGCGACGGTGGGGGCTGCCACGGCGCTGGAGGGTGTGGCGACGGCGGGGGGGCCGGCGACGACGGAGGGGCGCGACGCCGGCGAGGGACGTCATGACAGCGGGGGGTGCAACGAATGTGGGGCGCGCGACGGCGGCGAGGGGCGCGACGACAACGGGGACCGCGCCGACTCTGGGGGCGCTAGTGGAGGGCGGGACGGCGGCGGGGGGGCGCGACGACAGAAGGGGCGGCGACGTCGGCGGGGGGCGGGCCGACGGTTGGGGGCGTGGCGATGCTGGGGGGTGCGACGATGGGTGCGACGGCGGCGTGAGGTGCGACGGCGCTGGGGGGTGCGAGAACGGTGTAGGATGTGGCGGCGGCTACTCGTAGTGGGCGCCAGGGCGAGCGCGAGCAGCCGCGAGCGCGGGCCAATCCCTCATGCGCCCGCCTTTCCCCATGCCAGTAGGGCTTCTGCTGGCCAGCCCCTGGCTGGCCCGCGCAATCCCCCCTCCCCAGTTTCCCCTGCCTGCACTGCGAGCGCGGGCCAGCCCGTCGCACTTCCGCGCCTGGCAGCTCCACAGGTCAGCACTCTCCACCCCTCCTGCTTCTGCCTCTGTGGGCCCATCTCTGGGGCTCGAGGCCCGGACCTGCAGACTGCACGTGCCCTGCGCCGCGGCGCCTGCCCGGGGCAGCGGCGCCGGCCTGGGCTCGCACGCCGCTCCCCCATGGCCCGCCTCTGCCCTGGGTCGCGGCGCTGGCATTCTCTGGGGCTGGACGGCTGCGTGCCGCGGCGCCCGGCCTGGGCCCGCAGGCCGGACGTCCCTTGGCTCGACTCTGGGCGGAGCACGCCCGGCGCGCCAGACCCAGCGCGCGCCAGTCCGCGTGCCAGTCCACGTCTGGCGCGCCAGTCCGCGTGCCAGTCCGCGTCTGGCGCGCCAGGCCCGCGCAGTCGGTCTTTTGCGGTGCCACTCCGCAGTGGTGGCTGTTTCGGTGGCAGGGCCAGTGTTTTTGTTGTTTCTGGTGGCGGGGCGTGCGGCAGCAGTGGCCGTTGAACGAAGGTACGAGACGGGGAGAGAGAGACAGAGGCCGATGAGACAGAATACGCTCGAAACTCCGCCTGCCTCTCAATGTCACCACTATCCTCATTAACATCGCCATCATCATCAAGATTCCATCCTCATCAAAGTCGCCATCCCCACTCATCACCATCACCATCCTCATCAGCATCGCCAGCCTAATCAACATCGCCATCCTCATCAACATCGCCATCCTCCTCAAGATCGACATCATCATCATCAGCATCATCATCATCATCATCATCATCATCATCATCATCATCATCATCATCATCATCATCATCATCATCATCATCGCCATCCTCAGCAACATCTCCATCCTCATCAGCGACGGTGGGGGAGCGCCATGAGGGTTGGGGGCGTGACGACGGCGGGGTGGCGGTGGGGTGTGTGACGGCAGCGGGGGGTGATGGTGGCGAAGGTAGAAGAGTAATACCTCCAGGGGCTGAGGAGGTTGGAAAGGCGCCGGCTCGACGCTCGAAGGAGGAGGATGTGGAGGAGGGACGAGGTTATCTCCACCTAACCTCCAGGTGCCTTCAGCAGCCTTCCCCACGCTTCCTCCTGTCCAGACGCGCCCCCGCTTTCGTGTTTGGGGCGAGGAGCTCCTCCAGCTTGGGGCGGACGGGGCGACGCCGTGCAATGGTGTTCGCAGCAGGAGGGGGGAGGAGGAGGAGGAGGAGGAGGAGGAGGAGGAGGAGGAGGAGGAGGAGGAGGAGGAGGAGGAGGAGGAGGAGGAGGAGGCGGAGGCGGAGGAGGAGGAGGAGGAGGAGGAGGAGGAGGAGGAGGAGGAAGGAGGAGGAGGAGGAGGAGGAGGAGGAGGAGGAGGGCGGAGGAGGAGGGCGATGGCCTGCCTGCTTCCTGCTTTCCGCCCGCCCACGTCAGCGGCGAGAGCCCGCGAGGGCGCAGGGGAGGGGGCGCGCGGCGCGCGCCCTCCCCCCCCCTTGCCCCTCCCCCCTCCCTCCCCGCCCCGCGCTTTTGTCGTTCGTCTGTCGTCTGCCGCTCTTCGCCGTCGTGTCGTCCGTCGCTCCGCTCTTTTGCCACAGGGCTCCTTACCGCGTTTTTTTTTGTACGAAAAAACAACCAACAAAAACAACTACAAAAAACAAAAAATGGGTGTGTGGCACCAGTGTCGCCGCAGGTGGGCATCGAGGGGGAGGGGGCGAGGGCCGAGGACCGAGGCCGCGGCGCGAAGGCCACGCGAGGGGCGCGAAGCCACGGCCCTTTCTGGGGGGGGGCGGGGGCGGGCGCTGGCCTGCAGGGGCGGGAGGCCGGTGGGCTCCGCGGCAGCGCCGCGGACAAGGCGCCACGCACCGTCGGCTGTCGGAGCAGCTCCGCCACCCGCGGCCGCGGGGGACGCGAAGGTAGTCACCCCTTATAAGTCCACGCAAATAAAAAGGGTTCCCCATACTGTCCCATAGTTTCTGGTGGTTTGTCCTCCCCCCCACTTCCCATGTTTTCCCATCTTTTCCTGGGAGTGGACGATTCATTGTGTCTGTGTGTGTTTTTCCCCTCCCGAGTCATGCATGGGCCAAGCGGTTGCCCTTCTCCGAGGGGGCGGCGCGAGAGCGCGAAGCTGGCCGCGCAGCGTGGGGCGAGGGGCGCGAAGCTGGGTGGCTTCGGTTCAGAAGCAGCAGAGGAAGCCTCCGTGGCCAGTCAGTTACGCCCTCAGGTGTTACTGGCTCAAGCCATCCTGGCAAGTGGTCGGCAGCAGATGTAATTAGGGAGATGCACGCTGTGCTTCTGCGGTGAAATCGCAGCCATGGCGCGTGCATCACAGGCTTCTTGTGAGGTCGACTCCAATCAGTCACCACAATCACCAGGCTGGAGCCAGACATCGCCAACAGCGGGCGGGGAGAGATTCCGCAGAGTCGGCTCTGTACAGTCGTTGTTTTCCAGCAGTTTTAACAATTTGAATCATGTCAGCGCTAACGTGTTTGGGAAGCGTCATTCTTCAGAGTTCAGGCACGTGGCGATAAAGAACATAAGCTTCGACGATCCGGATCTCCTTCGCGGCTCTTGCTCCGCAGACGCGATGAGGTCTTGGGGAGCAGTTCTCAACCCAAACCAGGGCGCAGGCGAGTGGTACAGCATGTCCCGGCGCGCCGATCATGTGGATGTGTTTGTATCACATAATTGGTCCATGTCGCGGCTTGATAAGTTCTTGATCTTGGCACTTCATCTAAATATGAGGGTTGCAGTCACCAGCACAGTACTGCTTGTTGTTGCAGTGGGACCTCTCACGGTGGCTGGGATTTTACCCGTGGTGGTGTTCGCAGATGGAAGAAGGATGGGGCCTTGGTGCCAGGTGCTCGGTTTGGCAATGTTTATGTTTACCTTGTCATGCTGGCAGGAGCTCTGCAGGCGTATGCCGTGTCGTGGAAGGCTGCTCTTCCTAGACAGGGCATGTATACACCAGTCTAATGATGCGCTCAGGCAGCGCGGCATCGAGCATCTCGCTGCCTTCGTGTACTACTCGTGGAGCTTTTTGATATGTTACTCCGACGAGTACCTCCAGAAACTGTGGACGGTGTACGAGGTTGCGAGCTTTATGTTGTTGCACCCTGGGAGTGCCATGCACGTCAGGCACGCGTGGTTCACAAAGTTCCTCATTGGTGGAATGGTTCTTATATTTTTCTTCAATGCGGCATGGCATATATTGTACATCTAGATGCCTTTGGCAATTTCGCCAACGTGCCAGTGCAGTATTCTGGCTGGTGACTATTCGAGGAGATTCGGGAGGCCGTCACGTGCGACACCTTGGGTTTGTCGAAGCCCTTTGGGGCAACATGGTTGGGTGTCTCTTGGGGGGGCTCTTGGAGGCTCTTAGCAGCGTCCCGGGGGCGCCTTGGAGGCTCGTGGGGACGCTTTGGGCCGTCTGAGGGCGCTCTTGGGCCGTCTGGGCAGTGCCTTTCGGAGCCCGTTTGGGGGGGGGGGGGGGCTCTTTGGGTCGGTTTTGGGCCCTCTAGGGGGCCAGCCGAGTTGGGATCTTCTTGGATCGCTCTTGGGCCATCCTGGAACCCTCTTGGGTCGTGTTGGGGCGCTCTTACGGCCTTCGTCGGCGCCTTGAGGCTATCTTTGAGGCTTCTTGGGCCGTTTTTGAGATCACAGAAGCCCGAAAAGGTGAGAAGGCGAACGTCCAACCACCGAACGCGGAATCCATGATTGTGGTCTCGTCGGCTTTGCTGAAGGTTCCCTTGGAGCCCTCTCGGACCGTTTGGGTAGCCTTGGAGCCATCCCGGGCTGTCGTGGGACGTTCTGGCGGCTTGGGTGGCTTGCCCGGGCGGCCGTGGCAGTCAGTTGGGGAATATGGGAGGCCTTGGCGAGCGCCAGGGGGGCGTCGAGGCGCCCCAGGCGCCTCGAGGAGGGGTGCAATTACGCAGGTGGGCGCGAGTGGAGGGGGGGGGCCTTGTGAAATCGGGAGCGGAAAAGAGGGGGGTGATGACTCGGGGGGTGGATATCAGAGGGGGGCCATGATATTTCCCCAGATTTCATGGCGCATCTTCTTGTTTCATTACGTCCCAGGCCCCCCCGCTGGGCCGCGCACATGCCGCCGGTCATGATTTGCACCCCTCCCTCTTGGACACCCCCCTCTTGGCCGCTCCCGATGAAAGGCTACAGGAACCCCGACAGGCAGCACGCGGCGTCCTACCACTCCTCCAAGTGCCAGCGAGCGCGGTGGCGGATACCAGGCATTTTGGGAGACTCGTCGTTGCCCGTCGAAACCGTGGGTTCTTTGTTGACGGTGAGTTGTTTGGTGCCCGCATCGGTTGGGATGGCTTTCATGGTGTTGAAAATAACAGAAGTACGGGTGACTATGGGAGAGCGGGTCAAGAGTTTCCGTTTTGACGAAGCGAAATGCCACAATGAGGATGACCGTATCGTTGTGCAGAACAATATCATGATGTTCATGAAACACCATGGCCATGTAGACAAGAACGCTAGTGATGAAGACATCATGCAAGAGTTCGAAGCGATGATCCAGTCTGGTGTACCGAAGTTGTTCGCTGCGTCTCTTGGACCCGTGGGCTTCCCATACAATTTTGCTACATGCATGTCGTTACCGTATGGTTTACAGTGCTTCGACTACTTCTACGCATCCATCCGCGATGGTATGCCTGCCAGGACTATATGCTTAGATGTGGCATACGGAATGACAATTGTCTGCGCTGTGCTCCCTACATGTCTCGCCATCTCCTTCGCATTTGCCAGAAAGGTGGCGGCACGGCATTGCCGAGTCGGGCACACCCTAAGCGTGTGCATGCTGACAGCATTGAACGTCGTGTTTCTTGGCGGGGTGCACACAATCTTGAATATTTTTTTGAAGCGGGCAATCGAGGGTAGCTACGTAGGTATTGCCGTCTTCTGCTCCACGGTAGTATGCTTGTGCGTGGGGGCGCTGTTATGTTACAGATCGTACGCGAACGAGAAGTACCATCGCCGTCTAGGGGCGACGTGAATCTTCCAAAGCAGCCACCTCGCCCTATCACATCCAATGATATTGTCGAACAGGTGGGTGAGGGAGTACGAGTGTCATATCATCATTGAGATGTCCAATGCCACCTCTGCGGCGCTAGAATTCGCTAGACGGGGATGCGTTCGCGTGCGGCTGACACTTCTAGTGGCCTTCGTGTTTTCAGGTTTTGATTTTGGCTTGCATGTGGAAGTATTCTGAAGGCCTTACGGCCGGTGCCGCCGACCCAGAAGGACGGCGACGACCACTACGACGACGACCACGACGACAACGACAGCGACGAGCTAATGACCCTGCCACAGGCTCGGGACATGGGGCGGGCCGTGGAGGGAGAAGGAGGAGGAGGAAGAGGAGGAGAAAGAGGAGGACGCGGAGGAGGAGGCGGAGGAGGTGAGGGAGGGGGAGGGGGAGGAGGAGGAGGAAGGAGGAGGAGGAGGAGAAAGAGGAGGAGGAGGAGGAGGAGGGGGAGGAGGAGGAGGAGGAGGGGAGGAGGAGGAGGAGGAGGAGGAGGAGGAGGAGGAGGGGGAGGGGAAGGAGGAGGAGGAGAAGGAGGAGGAGTTGGAAGAGGAGGAGGAGGAGCAGGAGGAGGAGTAGGAAGAGGAGATGGAGCAGGAGGAGGAGAGAGGAGGAGGAGGAAGAATAGAAAGACGAGGAGGAGGAGGAGGAGGAGGAGGAGAGCCGTCTGTCTCCCCGGGGGAGGACCGCGGCTGGTGCCGTGGGTCGGTGCCCGGATTGGGGCCGGGGCCTGGGCTGGGCCCGGGGCCGGGCCCGTGGCCAGGCCCGGGGCCGGGGCCGAAACCAGGGCCGAGGCGGCGGGAGGGGTCCTGGGCTCCCCTGCCAACATGGAGACCACCCTCGCATTAGAGGCCCACCTATCGTATTGAACCTGACATTCCAAGTCTATTGCATGGCTAGTTCTCTCCTCTCTTCTTCTCGCGGCATTGGTCTCCGCGGCCTTCTCATCCTTGCCATTTGCTGTAATGGCGCTTGGGTGTGCTGCACGAGCTGTGAGGGTAGTGCGGCATGCACCCGCAAATAGCAGGGGGCACCATTCCCGCTCGCATTGCAGACATTGCCTGCTGCATGTTGTTCCTCTTCGAAAAAATCGATTGCCTGGCTATGCGAAGTAATATTTATGATAAGGATCGTGCCTTCGAGATACAAGTGGTTTTCCTGCAAGATGAACAATCGTGTTCCTCAGTCCTAGTGAACGATGTTTTCCTTCATTCGGAAAACATTCTGCAAACAAAAGCACAAGCAAACGTGGTGTTTGGGGAGGGTGTTCTGGTTTGGTATGTGTTTGTTCCACCCCTCGTCGACATCCACGTTGCCGCCGCGCGCTTGAGGAAGAGAGAAAGAGAGAGAGAGAGAGAGAATGATAACAACACATTGGAAAAGAGAGATAGAGCTAGCGTCGCCCAGGCGGCAACGATGTTCTGTGTTGCTTGCTTCTGCGTGTTGAAATGCATGCTCCTATGTCTTGTTGTTTTTTTGTTGGGGGGGGGGTGCTGCGGTGTTTTTGTTCCCTGATAACTGCAAGTGCATCAGCATTTCGAGGAAAATATGACCAAGCATAAGCAGGTTCGTCCATAATGGGGGCAACGGTGTTTAGTGTTTCTTGCTTGTGATTGGTAGCCATATCCGTAATAATATGTTTTCTATGGGGGGAAGTTGCTTGTTTGGTTGTTGCACTTGTATCCTTACTTCGAGGAGGAGAGGACCTAGCAAAAATATGGGTTCCAAATGGAGCAACGAGTACACAACATTCGTGATGATGGTTTCGACGCGCGGTGGTTCTGTGACTTCGTGGTGCGTGCCGTATGCAACCTTTTGATGTACGTTCCACACTTGCGTTAATAGCGTTTTATACATGTATGGGAGATCCCGGCCCCGGGCCCCGTTGCCAGGACCTCCCTCCCCCCCCCCCCCCCGGACAGGTTTCCTGGAGGCCACCGACGCTCCAGGACCGCCCGAAAGCGCTCCAAGAACGCCCAGGACGGCCTCCAGACCGCCCAGGAAGCCTCAAGGAAGCCCAGCGAGTGCTCCAAGACCGCTCCGAGACGTCCCAAGAAGCTTCCAAAAGCGCCAAGAGGCTCCCCAGGAGGCCAACCTCGTCCCAGCTCTTTCGGACAACTGTACATGTTTATCATGTTCGCCTTCTCGGCCTCAACAGATTCCAAGACTGCCCAAGAAACAATGCCTGAGTACAGCAATGCCTAATTGGCACAACACATAGCTAAAGACATTGCATCACTGAAACAATGCCTAACGCAACACACTGCCTATCTGAAACCATGCCCACAGAACCCAAAGCCGTCCTGAAACAAGGCTGGCCCAAAGCAACCTTTGCCATATCAAACTTGCATCTGCAAAACTTGGCTGACACTGGGCATATCTTTAACAATGCCTACATCAAACAATCCCTAGCTCGAACATTGCCCAGCTGAAACAATGCCTACGGCAGGCTCATGTCGTGACGACCGTGGCGTTCGTTTCCGAGACGGCCTGAATCGTTCAAGTGCGGCTGGTTGAATCAATGCCAAATTGAAAACAACGCTTGTCTGGCCAAAACGCAACGCCTAACTGAAGCAATGCTGGACACAAACCCTGCCTGACTAACAAAGTCTAGCCACCCCGCTGCCTGACTCAAGCAACGCCTACCTAGAACAAGGCCAGTCTAAGCCTAGCTTAACTAAAACCAAAATCCGATAGCTCCAAGTTCAGTTAAGCTAAGCCTGAACTTGTTTTCAGTGCGAGCACAACGTATGCTGAACACAAAATTACGGAAAGCCTTGAGCTCACGATGGATGTCGACAAGTTCGGTACACCAAGGCATATGTATCTAAAACAATGGTCATTCAACACATTGTTCAGCTACAACAAGACTTACCTAGAGCAACTCTTAAACAAGTCCACGTGAAGCCTACCACTATTACCTATACCAAGTTTGGCCAAGCCAAGCTTAGCGTCAAGAGTGTCTAGATAAAACGCTGCTCACCTAACACAGCGCCTCACTAAAGCAGAACGTTGTTCGCGTTGTGTCGATGCGGGGGCCATCCCAGTCCGGGCGTTCAAGGTTGAACGCCGCTGGTTCCCAGAAGCGGCCGACCTCGGACGATCTGCCCTCTCGGAAAAAGCCCGAGGTCGTCCGAGGTGGAACGGCCCACGCCGCGTCCGAAGCCAGCGCCGACGGTTCAGAGTGGTCGCCGGTGTCCGTTTCCCGGCGATTTCCGTCGGCGTCGCACCCTGGCCCCCTGGCCGGCCCTGGCCCTGGCCCTCTCGGCGATGCATTTTCCCCCTCTTCGGGCGATGGCAGGACTGTTTTCCACCACCACCGCCACCGTAAGTGGGAGGGGCAGGAGCTCCTCCTCCTCCTCCTCCTCCTCCTCCTCCTCCTCCTCCTCATCCTCATCCTCATCCTCATCCTCATCCTCATCCTCCACCTCTTTCCCCCGTCCACCTTCTGTTGGTGGTGGCGTGTGGCGCGGCTGCGGGAGCGCGGGGGGCGGGCAGCGAGCGCCTGCCGCGTCCAGCGGGGCGCGGCGGCCAGGGGCCGCCACGGGCAGGGCAGCTCCGGGGCGCAGCGGCGGGTCGGCGGCGGGGCGCCGTCGGACAGGGGCGGCGGGTGGCGCCTGGGGCGGCCTCGACCCCTGGGGGGAGGAAGAGGGAGGAGGAGGGAGGAAGAGGGAGGAGGAGGGAGGAGGAGGAGGAGGAGGGGGAGGAGGGAGGGAGGAGGAGGAGGAGGAGGGGGAGGAGGGAGGAAGAGGAGGAGGAGGAGGAGGAGGAGGAGGAGGAGGAGGAGGAGGAGGAGGAGGGGCGGCTATCCGGGTCGGTGGTACAGTCGAGGTCGATGAGTAGGTCGTCCCTGCCAAATCAAGGGTACCCTGGAGTCCTGTGTTTCGCGATCCATGTCTTTTTGCATTCCTGTGGCGCTATGGCCCTCGGAGGTGTCTTGTGTCCTCTCGCGTGAGCTCTCCAATCAAGCTCGACTGTATGGTGGTGGCTGGCGCGAAGTGCCGCGATGGCAACGGGAAGGGGCGGACTGGTGGCGGTGCGGGGCTTGCGGCCGTGGAGAGGGGCAGGCGCGGTGGCCCGCACGTCCGCGGGGGCTCCGGCTGCAAGCGCGGCCGCCCCGACAGCGCCTGCGTCAGAGACACGGGAGAGAGTCGGGCGATCGGTGCGGCCGTCGCCGATGTGCCCCGCGCGGCGATCGGTGCGGCCGTCGCCGATGGCTGCGGCACGGGAGTTACACGCGTAACTCTAGCAACATTCTGCGCACTGGTCCCTACAGGAAAAGGCTCCATGGAAAGACTCCAATAGTTTGCCTGGGCGATGAGCATGCGACTCTCTACATCAAGCCACTTCATGCTTGTTATTTGAATTGGTTCAGTTCTGTGGTGATTGGTGGCTAGGGGCGCGACTGGGGTGCGAGGGGGAAGCGCCGCGGATGTGGGAAGGTCGTGCGGATGGGCTGCGAGCTTGTCAGTGGTCGCTCCTGCGAGAGGCAGGCAGGCCCAGCAGGGTGCGGTGGTAGCTGCGTGTTGGCGGCGGGACGCCGTCGGGCAGGGGTGGCACTGGAGACATGGCTGGTCACGCCAGAGGTCTGACGGTTGGCGCGTGGTGCCGCGGTGGCGGCGGGAAGGGGCGGTGCGGTGGCGGTGCAAGGGCCTGCAGGTGCGTAGGGGTGGCGCTGGAGGTACGGCTAGTCACGTCGGTGGTCTGGTGGCATGGCGTGTCACGAGCCCGAGTTTTGCCGCAAGTTGCAGTTCGCACCGGGATTCGAGCTCATGAACCCTGGATGAAGGAGAGATTGGTTTACCATTTCCACAACGTCCCCATGAATATGTTGGCCCCGGGGAATAATTCAATGGATTTCCATGTAAAGTTGCCACACATCAGTTCGTGTGCTTGGTTCTCATCTGGAACTGACCTCCATGAAGAGCACTATAGACGATTCGAGACGATTACTGCTGAAAAGTAGCAGG